AACCCTTTAATTCTTTGTAATTTTACATAGTGAGACATTAAGTGACTAATATATCCCGGACTTTTGATTTATTTCCTTCAATTAGTTATTTAATTGTAAATGTATTTTAAAAGTTGATAACTTTTGTATTTCTTATCGGTTTTACATATATAATATATCAACATAATTATATTTTGATGATCTTCGATTTGACATCCATATTGTATATATGAAATAATAAATTATATTTATCTTTATAATATAAAAAAATTAAATTCATTAGAAAAATAAAATTAATTCTCAATTGATATATTTATGTTTAATGTAGTTATATGCTGTAAGTTAAAAAATTATTATAATATAACACAAGTAAGTCGCACAAATAAAAAAGTGTCATACTAAATATAATATATATATATATATTTATAAAAGGTATTTAAATTTTCAATTACTTTTTTCTCATTAATTTTAGATTTTAAGAAAAAATTAGCAAGCACCCGTGTAATACACGGGCGTTGTACTAGTAATGTTGTATACAAAAAAAATAATAATATATAAAATTTTCATTACGAAGATTTTATGATTTGACAAATTATCTAATATTATAACTCTTTTATAATATTCTTCAAAATAAATACAGTCCGTGCATCGCACGGGTTACACATTAGTTTGAAAAATGTATTGGAAACAATTAATGCATATATATTAAAAGTTCCGCAAAAAAAAATATGTATTAAATGCTTTCAAAAATTTTTACTACTATTTTTAATAAATGGTTATTCTTATTATATAGATATATATAAATTATACATAAAATGGCGACAAATTTTTATTTATACCACGTGATTGGAAAAAATATAATTTTATCATAGTGCAAACTTTATTTGCACTAGTTATCATCCTGTGCACATGCACAGATGTATATAAAATATTATAACTAATGTGTGAATTTAATATTAAAATATAGAACATATCACATTTTCAAGATATGTGAATTTAAAATTAAAATTCTAGATAATAAACATATAACATTTTCAAGATCTGTGAATTTAACATTGAAATTCTAGAAAATGGACATACCACATTTTCAAGATTTAATCATTAGTAAAAATAAAATAATGTTTATATAAATTATTTGAGTACATATGAATCACTATATTGATTAAAAAAATTGTGAGTAATGTAATTTTGTTAATTTGGAGGGATCATGGTCAAATAATTTACTTGAAAACTTTATTATTATTATTATTATTATTATTACTATTCTTATTACAACGACAAATGTTTATAAGATTTTAAAGTTTTTTCCTATACTATTAAAACTATTTACTAATTGTTTCTAAAGAAAATTGTTTCATGAAATACAAAATTAAAATAATAATAACAGTGTCATTCTTAAAACCTAATTAAGTGTAATCATGTATTTATAAAACCTAATTAATAAAACCTCATTTATTTTCTCTCCAAAAGAAGTTACAAAATTTGTCATTCATATTTTGCCTTTCACATTAATACACCCTATTAAGTGTAATCATGTATTTTTTTGCTATTATATTATATAATAGTTGATGCTATTACCAACTCATAATATTTCACACTAAATATATTACATAAGTATAAATAA